ACTACTACTACTACTACTACTACTACTACTACTACTACTACTACTACTACTACTACTACTACCACTACCACTACTACTACTACTACTACTACTACTACTACTACTACTACTACTACTACTACTACTACCGTCGTCTCCCAAAGACAAGGCATCCAGATCGTCAGCCAGTGAAGAACTATCATCAGAATACTCAGGTTGTTTCGGTTTTTTGTTTTTCTTTCCGCCCAGCCTATAACCACAGTCTACATGATACACGACCATTCTACTGCAATTCGTGTGATTACCACCACGGTCTGTTTTTCGCCTTCTCCTCAGCGCGGCGTTTCGAGGCCAATGCCTTCTTCTTCCTATTGATCCTCTTCTGCTTGTCGATCATCGCCTTAGCCGCTCCTGATGAGCATAGGGCAATGGTCAATTCTCTCGAGTGCCACCGTAGAGCTACCGAGCTCCTCCTCATTTCTATTGTTCCACTCCACTGGAGGCGGCTTATTATCTTTACGATTGTAGAAAAGGAGACGAGAGACCCAATTTCGGTTCATGTCGTCAACAACGCCTCGACTTTTCCTAATCACTGAGTTTAACATAGTACTCATAGAATCATTCAATAGCTCACTGTAAATAGTCTTCAACGTCAGCTGCATCGCCTCTTATACGTTGCATCTGTTTCGTCTGAGTTTCCATCGTTGTTGCCTAAGCCTACTATAACGATATCATCATCGATCAGCGGACGTACTGTCTTAGAGCCGATCTCCTTGGTCTCCTCCAGCACACGCTTTGTACGCTGTAAGGAAGCTTTCGTTTGATTACGGGTCTTCCGAATTTCCCTGATGAACCGAGTCGATCACCGTTCATCGCGTTGCCGGTGGTACGATTCAACTTTGGACTTTTCAAATTCGTCATCACTGCCAACATTATCCTCTCCCACCTGTTGTTGCTTAACACCGAAAAGCTTCGCCCTTCTATCGCCCTGTGCGGACATAGTACAAGGCAAATCAAAACTGTCAAATCTTCATCCGTCTCTGTCACCAATGAAAATGCGCTGTTCTCCACGTTGCGTCACCATTTCAGCGTTTCATCTTATCCCAGTGTTGTCCTCCAGTGTTGCTATTAGAGAGGAATCATCCCCTTGTGTGTTCACCTTCAACTGTGTGGAAATATCATAGAAACTATGGTAATCTATTTTCAGTCCTGCATACAGCACGTCCCAGCATAATCGATCAGCTTGGCGCGCGCTAATTGAATATTTTAGGATGAACCTCCTCGAGCCATCACGGGCAGCTACTGTATCTGTAGTTACCATCTAACCGTCCTCCCTGTTTATCAACCATGAGGTTCCTTGATCTGGTCCGTCCGGCGATGTTCCTCATGCCTGAGGTTGCCTCGCCAGACAGGCGAATACCATTCAAGGAGAAGATATTGTGGACGGCTATGGCATTGTTTATTTATCTTGTCTGTTGCCAAATCCCACTGTACGGAATTGCAACTAACAAGAATGCTGATCCCTTCTACTGGATGCGTGTCATTCTAGCATCCAATCGAGGGACTTTGATGGAGCTGGGTAAGAAGGGCTTGGTGTTAGACAACTAAGAGAGTTCTAACATTGTCGGTGTAGGTATATCACCCATCATCACATCGGGTATGGTAATGCAACTCCTTGCTGGCTCCAAGATCATCGAGGTCGACCAGAGTTTAAAGGAGGATCGTGCCTTATTTAACGTGAGTGCTTCCCTATGTAGTGTCCATATATCCTTGCTTTAGGGCGCTCAAAAGCTATTGGGCATCCTCATCACATTGGGAGAGGCAGCAGCTTATGTGATGTCTGGTATGTATGGTGATGTTACCGAGATAGGTGCGGGCAATGCTCTTCTTATCATCATCCAGCTCTTCTTCGCCGGGGTCATCGTGCTACTGGTAAGAAGACTTCATCATACAGGCCTGGCATGTCTTATATTACTGCGTCATTTCAGCTCGATGAATTGCTTCAAAAAGGGTACGGTTTGGGATCGGGTATCTCCCTGTTCATCGCCACCAACCTCTGTGAGAACGTCATCTGGAAAGCCTTCTCTCCTACTACGCTGAACACTGGCAAAGGTCTGTCAGATTAGTAACGATAGCAATGATTGTACAGTCTGTCAGGCACCGAGTTCGAAGGAGCTATCATTGCTCTCTTCCACTTGATGGTGACACGGAACGATAAGCTCCTCGCTTTGAAAGAGGCTTTCTATCGTTCGACTGCGCCAAATCTCACCAATTTGCTCGCCACAGCTATCGTGTTTTTCGTCGTTATCTACTTCCAAGGATTCCAGGTGAACCTACCCGTGAAGTAAGTCGACACATTCTGGCATTGTTCATGATAATACGCTATCATCATAGGTATCAGAAGGTTCGTGGTCAGACCGGCTCATACCCCATTAAGCTGTTCTACACCTCCAACATTCCCATCATCCTCCAGACCGCTCTTGTTTCCAACCTGTACTTCTTTTCCCAAATACTGTACAGAAGGTGAGCGCTTTCGTGTTCCTCCTGATCATCGTGATGTGCCTTGTTTTAGATTCAAGAATAACATGATTGTTAATCTGCTTGGTCAGTGGCAAGATGTGGATATGGCCGGCACTCAGTCGATCCCTGTTGGTGGTATCGCCTACTACATCTCACCTCCCAACAGCTTCACTGACGCCATCAGTGATCCCATTCATGTCGTCGTGTATGTGACATTCGTGCTCACAAGTTGTGCTCTTTTTGCTAAGACATGGATTGAGGTTAGCGGCAGTAGCCCTAAGGATGTAGCCAAGCAGC